TGTGGATAAGATCGAACTATGTACAATCTAGACATATACATAATGTAATAATATCATAGATACGAACATATAGTTAGACACAATTTCATAGATATAAAACGTAATAATACTTGACACCAGTCATAAAAAATGGTGGATGTGAACTTTCTATTTTAATGTTTCGTAATTTAGCATTCGTTCTTAGCCCTCATCTACATTGGCAGACTCCACATGGATGAGGCGTGTGCCTCTGTCAAATGTCTGCTGTATCTAATATGCAAAACTGAGGCAATCTAATGCATAAGTTATTTGTTTCTAACGAAAGAAGTTTCTTTTACATTTTTCGAAATATAAAATAAAATCACTGAAGTAAATAGAAATATTAGATATCACATTCGAGTTTATTGGAAAATTAGTTTTGTGTTTCGAATGATTTTCGTCGAAGTTTAATATAAAATTTTTTCCATATAATCGCAGTAATTTCCTTAAAATAAATTCTTCCCGGGAATGTAAATACGTGACAGTAAAGCCACAGCTGAATATTTTCTACTAAAATGTCCGAAGGGCAAAAATTCGTAATGAAATAAAAGTGACATGAAATAGATATCAGAAATAGGGCATGCGATTACAGCAATACTTGTTTTTCTGTCTATGGTCGAAATTAATAGGCCTAAAGAACGATACGTTTGTACGCCTAAAGTACGCATTGTAAATAAAAATTGGCAAACATTCACTAGAAAACGTACGCATAAACACTCAATATAAAATGAAATTGGCGTTATTGATCAAAACATCGAGTTTCGAATAGCATTCGTTATCATAATATCCTTTTTTAGACAGCAGGATGTCTGAGGTGGTCCTACCTCTTCGGGGGACCCGGGAACGAATTCGGCTGAGTGACTCCTAAAAAATGTTTCATGAACAGTCTGATCTGGCTATGTCGGGCCCAGTTCCTCATTGTGGGCCTGGTCAAGCCTACGATGGGTATGAGTAAAAGGCCCTCTTAGTACCCATAGGATAAAAAAAAAATTAATAATTTTTTAAGGATTAACTATTTCTAATCCAAATAAAAATATATTAAATTTTATATTTAAAACGAATTTTTAAAATTTAAATTTTTGTTTTAATTACAATTAATCTATTTAAATAAAAATATTTATAAATTATTATATGTTTGTAACTTACCACAGTAAAAATCCGTCCTTCGCTAATAAGGATGACGGGTATTTGGAGTAACTCAATCAATGTACCCATATAAGTGAAATAAAAGTCATAAAAGAATAAGTGCTTGAGGATATTAACTGGCGATTTGCATAGTAATAATGGGAAATCGCCAGCTTTTATGTACTGTACGTATCAAGAAAAACAATTTTTTTTCATTATAAAGCATATTAGATGATGAAATGCTATTAACACATTATGAATTGTTAAAATATTAGTATTATTTATGCAAACTGTAAAGCTTAACGCTTGGGCTCGGGTCCCAAACACCCAATTTGCCCTACTCTTCGGTAGGGAAAATAGGCTTTTTGAAAGTCATCTTACAAATATGATAGCAGTTACACTCATTTTTTAAATTTTATCTGTAAAAATACAACAATATACTGTATAAAAAACATAATATAATAAATACCGATTGAATAACATAAAATATATATAATTTATAATTTACAAGTTAGTAAGGATCTTATTATTTTTATTTATCTTTAGCAACAGGCTGAGAATTTTGTAACGGCATATTGAATAAATTTCAAATAAGATTTCAATTATTTTAAACAAAAAATATTTAAAGCACTGATAATAAAAATATACAGATTTGTTTCTATTACTTTACAATCTAATCTGAAATAAATATAGAATATTTTTTTTTCAACATCTCTTGATGAAAATAATAGAAATAAGTAAGAACAGGGTAGTCGAGTGCTTGTACGGGGTAGAGGGGCTCCTTTGCAATGTTTTTTTTTTTTTTGAACAAATAAAATACGTAGAATGTTTGCTTATTAATAAAAAGCATTCTTAAAGATATTTTTGTTTTAGTAAAAATAACATTAAGTTATAGGAGTGGGAATCGTTAAGGGTCCCTAAGTTTTCTTCTGTTCCGAAAAAAATCCGCAGCTCACTCTCTGGACGACCCTGAGTGCCACCGAGGGGGGTCCTCATTAAGGACCTGAGTGCTCTTAATGAAAGATTTTCAATGCAATTCTATTTTTTTTAAATATATTATTAATCAACTTTAAATTATTTAAATTATATAAATAACTTAGCATGAATATAATAAATGACGTTTTCTTTCATTTCTATAGAATTTTAGAAGAAAATTAAACAGATCGATTTTGTTTCATTTTATAAATACAGTAATTAATGATATGTGATATATAATTTTATTAAATGAGTATAATGCTCATATTTTGTTCATGTCTACTAAAATGATATACAGTATAAGACTAACGAGAGATGATAAATTAAATTATCAGTGTTATTGTTTGATGCCCGACGTCCAACACTATAATATAAATTAAATTCACATTAGTAATCTATGTAATGATAATCTATATCAAAAATAAAAAATCGTTATATACTATACGAAAGAATTTTAAAATATAATCTGGTTAAATTTAAATTATATAAAAAATCAGTATTTTAGTTCAAAACAACTCAATAGGCATTCAAATTTAGACAAAAAGAAAATTAGAAAAAAAAGGGATTTTATTTTTTATAAAATGGTATATTTGTTATGCCTCATATAAAGTTGGTAAGGTATTTATAGTATTCATTCCTCTTCATAAGTCCAGAATTTGTATCAACATACATTAGACGTTCCGCTATTTTCAAGCTAATCCCGAAAATTTAAAGCTCCTGCACTAATAAATTCACTGATAAAGCCATACAAATATGTAGACAGAGATAAAGAATTTTTGTTTATTTTAAACGCTTTTATTCAACTTATTTTGTATCATGCCTTCAAATCTTGAAACTCAAATTTCATCCACTTCTAATTAAGATAGAAGGCTGAAATTTAGTGGACATACTTAGTCCAATAACAATGCATTTTAATGATGTTTTACGAGGTGACATTTTCCCCACTACGAAATCCGATAAACGTAACTAAATGTAGATTTTAAAATATGTGTGTGTAAATTCATTGTAATGATGTAAAGAGAGTGGGCCACCTCCATCATCCTCCATTCCAATCTCGAAAAGCATGACCAATAAAAGCTTTTTTTTTTTTTTTAATTTTTAAAACATGTATTCAAATTATTCCTTTCAGGAAAAGTACTTAATAAGCACTTAAGAATAAGTACTTAATTTCTTTAATTTATTGTAGATTTATATTTGAAAAAATCAAATATTGTGTAATAAGTATGCAATTATAGAAAATAATTCTGGATACATTCCTTTATTATTTACCAAGTAATTAAAAATTCATTATATATATTGAATGAAATAACATTAAAATTTGTGTTCAGTCTTCAGAATTTTGTTTAAAATAATTAATTGAATTTATTTTTAATAATTAAATTAAATTAAATTAATTATATATTCAAAAAATTATTATTTCCTATGCTTACATTCATTTCATTCGAGTAAATACTTTATTTTAAATCAGTCATTTTTTCCAAAATTTAAATTTAGGTCATACACTTGCATTTCTATGTCAATCTTTTTCTGTTCGCCAATGAAAAATGCAAAAAAAACTGATTAGGTAATACCATTAAAAATTACTAGAATTTATAAATTATATCTGTTAAAAATGTTAAGAAAATTTTCTTTATAATCTTTTCTACAAATCAATATGTATAAGTATAATTAGTATGGAAACTCCAAAATAATAAAATAATGTCTGCATTTATAGCCATTAGTTATGCAATGTATAAATCATGACTATGTCTTATTGTAAAAAAAGTATATGATGCAATTTCTTAATACAATATTTCGTAATAGATCGTAGTATATGGAAATGCTTTATTAATTTAAAAGTTTTGATTAAAGTTATTAAATTTTGTTAATGCAATACATCTGTAATTAACAAAGAGAATATTAACGTCGTACTTTAAATTATACAGTATATATCATTTTTATTTTTAGTACGTTAAAGTTATTATGTTATGCTAAAGAAATTATCACAGTCGAACCTCCAGTCGAATAATGCTACCTCTAAACGGCGGCCATTTTTTCAGGAACGTTTTTCAAATGCATACAAAATAACCTCCAAATAACGACCGTTTTTTATTTCTTTTTACGTTCCTGCCAGTGACCATTGTTCAGAGGTTTGACAATACACTGATCAATAACATCGATAGTATAACTTTTAAATGGAAATTTTATTTATCTATTTTGTTTATTGAGCTTAGTTCAATACATATGATGCTAATTTAAATAATAATCTTTAGCCATTAGAATTTTATTCGCGTTTCGTTATAGGTTTAGCTGTTGTAATTGTCTTAACATAATTAACCTGTTTTATTTTCTACTAACGCAAAATTATTTTTAATTGGTCAAATACGTGTAGATAGTTTATAGCTTCTACTAAAAGAATTTAGACTAGTCAATAACATTTCGATATGTAAACACGGTTTCATATTTACAGGGATTTGGTTTTTGAAGGTCTTATCCCCAAAACAAAATTCTAAAATGGCCTTGAAGTCTATAACAAAGTCTCGGGGTATCATTTTCAATGTGATTAAATCAGAGAAAAGAAAAACGTTTTAATTTTCAAAGTTAATTTATCAAATTGTCTACATAAATACATTACAACATTAATTTTTCTATTCTCGATTGATTCAAATCTCTGCTAGATGGCGACTCTGATCTGGACTTAGCCCTTCACACAGGAGTAAATTAAGGCGCAAAAGTCCACCATTTAGCTAAGAAACGGCAGTTATTTTCATTTTCACTTCACATATCTAGATTAAATTTCAAGGATTTTAAAGTAATTGAAAGAAGAATTATTAAATTAAATTCTAACTCAAGTGATTTAGTTCTACCCAACAAAAAAAGTAAATAAAAATAAAACGTAAATGTTTGCAATACAATGAAAATTTTATTTCTCAATCAAGTAAATCAAGCAGACATAAAAAATATTAAAAATATACACATCATATTGCATAGGCCGATTTAACAAGCCACAGAAAGTATTGCATCCTCTCAAAAGAGATGTTCTGCGCTTGGCCGTCACTCTCCGAAATTTTCCAACGTATTTTGATTGGATCACAAATATTGACATTGGAATATCTCAAAATTAATAACGAACATGTACATTTTTTTTTTGACGTATAAAACATATACGATACGGAACAATAACAATTTTTTTTTTATCAGAAAAGATACACAATTTTGCATCAATGCAATATCTAACGAGTAGAGAGAACGTAAATGCTGTTGTAAAAATATATGGGAACCAGTTGAAGAAATGGAATTTCTCGGCCACACACAAATGGACCTAACATTAAAATTTATCATCACACTTCTTAGGGTTCGACTGGACCATACATAGACAGCAATTGCGCTAGCTCTACACTAACAATATTTTTTTTGTGAGAGCAACTCACTTAAACAAGACTAGGGATATCGGAAAAAAAAGCGACTTAATATTTTTTAAAAAAAGTGCAGATCATTGATGTTTTATTAGTAATTATGCTAAATATACACGTTTCAAAAATATAGGATTATGGAACCAGTTATACCTGGTTTTGTATATGGATTCTAAATGTATTTAAGAATATCATAAAATAGTAACAATAATATTAATAAAATATTAATAAAATTAATATAATAATATAGTAATTATATACGCCGAGCATGCGTTAACTTTACATAACTGACTAATGCTAATATTTTTTTTTTGTTTGTTTTTTTTTTTTTGAACACACGAGACGAATCATGCTGGTACACCTACATATCTTTGGCAGACTTTAATCAACAAAAATATCCACACATGGCATTGTAGCAAGCCATTCTACTTTCTCAAACTGTTCAATATAGATTTTTTTTTTCTTTTGTATCTTTTTACATGAGCTCTATAAATCGAACACAAATACTCGACGGAATCTGCGCAGAATTTGAGAACGCGTCTCTAAGGCACTACTACATGGACGGACATACAGTCGGCGATGATTTAATACAAACACATACAAAAATATTTAGTGTATATATATGTATATATTGTACATTGTAAGGCACTTTGAATGCACTTAAAAATTTTTCACGCCAGACAAATAGTCTAGGTGGCAAGCATTATATAAATAAATTATGAATAAAGGCTAGAAAATAAGCAAACGATAAACATTTTTTTCTTTTTTTTAAATATCGACACTTAAAAAAAAAAAAAAAAAAAAAAAAAAATTAAAAATCTTACAAAGAGCCTGTCATGGCGAATTTTTGGCGGACTTGGCCGTCACGTGTCTTGGCAGGAAGAATCCTATTGGTCGAGTTATGCCATAAATAATTCTATGTAGCGATTTCCCATGTTATGACGATTCTTTTCCTGGATTGCACGTTCTGCGTCGGCTCTACTGGGGAATGTCACCAAAGCTTCTCCATTAGGTCGACCGTCGCCGTTCCTCTGCAACTGAATGCATTCCGGTGACAGCTGAAAAGTGAATATGCAAAATTTATTATTGAATAAAAAATAATAATTAAGACACCAGATGGCATCGAATTGAATATATAATCGAGATAATAGGTCTTGGTTCGATTGGTTGAGACATTGCACATGTTTACGTAAATTTGACGTCATTTATTAGAATTATTCATTGTAAAACTAACGTAATGACGTCAAGATGACGTAAAAATGTGCACTATCTCAACCAATCGAATAGACCCGATATAAAATTTAAAATGATACAAGGCGAGACATTCAGTAGACAAGTTGACCCGATTTCAAATAATACGGCTATCGTTCGTAAATATTAACGAGGATTAAAAAATACGGTAACTAGAACGACAAAAAGTCGAAAATGTCAAACCCATATATTAACGTATATATAAATTTTTATATTATAAAAAAAAACCAACATCGACGCCCTCTCGCCTTAAAAATCTTCCGAGTTGATGTATAGACCTATAAAATTGTATTTATTCCAAATGCAATTTATTGTTTCAGCCTTATTTTCAGAATTAATTTTCTTCAGAAAATTTCTCTTTCCACATAAACTTATCTTGATTTTCATTTAAGTACAAAGGTTGAAGGTTTCAGTCTGGAAACCAATGTCACGAAAGCTAGTTATTTATTAAAATCACAGAGAATATTAATTTAAAACACCTAATGTTTTAAATTAATATTCGAATTAATCAGTTTGTTCGAAACTGATTAATTCGAATATTTTAGAAAACAAGAGAGAAAGTTTTCGTTTCGAACTTATTCGACTTTACAATGAAAAAATAAACAAATTAGTAAATGGTAATTTGTACCCATTTGAATTATTCTTTCTTCTGTGTACTTTGATATAAAGTTTTATATTCCCTCTTTTTAAAAAATTAATGTGAAATCCTACGAATAATTACGGATTTCCAATCAGTAGAGTAACTTGAACGGATATTGGGGGGTTCAGTTCGAACATGCAAGCCTACATTCGCCCCTGGATCATTGTGAACGTAGCCACTAGTACTTTGTATGATGAGTAAACTTTTATGTATTATATATACACATATATAAATGTGTTTGACACATTAAAATATTTTTCCTGTATTTATTAGAGTTTTTCTTTATGTATTTATTTACGAAGATAAGGAGCCCAGGGCCCACGGATACGCTATTGCTTCCAATATATATATTTACATGTAGTACAAATGACACATTTGACAAATTTTTCATTTTCTAATCATGAAATTGGTGGAATATACTTTAAAATACTCGATTATTTATTTTAATTCTAATACGTTAAAAATAGTTTACGATTTTATGAATTATTATAAAGCATAAATAAACGAGATTTTTGAAAAATAAATTCTAATATTTTTTATAGTAAAGATTATTTATCTCCAACTTAAACTTAAGATATCTTTATAACAGAATCAATGTTGCATTATCTATGATAAGTTTCAATTTCTACAAAATTTAAAATGGCTTTATCTTTTACTTAACTGTAATCCTTATATTAACAGAATGAATTAAGAATCAGAGGAATTTCATAGTTCTATAGACATGACATATGACTAAAACTTAATCCCAGATAAGGATAATAGTTTTTCATATTTATCTGTGGACAAACAATCCATAAAAGTCTACTTTTAATTCAAATCATAACTGATCCTTTCTAAATGTATTTATGATTTGGTTACCATTAACCAAATCACTTATTTCATTATCATTCGGTTAATATATGATTATTATTATTATAAAATTTAAAATGTAAAGCAATTATTTGCTTAATTTAAATTTTATAATAGTTTAATATTTTTTATTTCTTTATATTCTTTACTAAAAATATTACTAATGAAATTTCAGATCTAAAGAATAGTAAACCCAGAGCAAGCATAGTGAAATCCTTAACAACTAAAGCCGTCTTATATGCAATATGTTCGCAAAACTACTTAATTAATATTATATTCTAAACTTTAAACATAATACAAGATTAGATAAATTAGTTAATAAGTTAACCGTCTATAGAGTCACCAATTTCTGAAGCGATATTTCATGCAACTAAACGTTATAGTTAACTTATTAGTAGCCATAACCAGCGACAGAAGCCCCCTAACCTCAGCAATACCCTGGAAAAAGTTGAGAACTTCCACCACAGTAGCAGTGTATGGTAGACCGCGTAGAATTACCATGGTCGGACCAGTGTGCGGATAATAAGTTGTAGGCGATACTGGAGGACTGGGATATGGCCAGTAGAAGATAGGTGTATAATAAGTTGGTACACGTGGCGTAAGAGGTGCTAAAGTCGGAAGCACCTGAGCCGATTGGACATAAGGATAAGTTCCATACGCAGACGGAAGTACAGCTCCACTCGTAGACGTTAATAGACCACCTGTAAATAAAAATATAAATTAATAACTCCACTGCAATTTTTATTATATATATATTTATTTATTTAATATTTGTACTTTTTCAAGTAATATAAATTTATTGCATTTACCTGATGCAAATAAAGGTCTTTGTACAGGTATGCCTCCGGTTAATACCAGATTCATATCGTCAACGGAACATTGAAATACTTCGATATATCGCTGTTTCTTTCCGAACACCATATATCGATGATGTCGCTGTTGCGCAGCGATATATGCAGAATGCTCTGAGTCCATTTGAATAAAAGCTTCACCCGAAGGCTGACCCTAATAATGTTCTCATTAGAATAACCTGGAAATTTGACGTTCTAACAAACGTAAAAACACTTACTTGGGCATTGTACACCATGTGAACACCTTGGAAGACAATATTTTTAGCATATTCTCCTAAAAATTCTAGAATATGTTCAACTTGAGCTTCATAAGGAAGGCCTCTTAATCGAATGCAATCCCTTCGAGATCCAGAAGGAAGCAACTGTTGAGGCAATAAAGGGACTTGAGGAAGATTGGCAATTAATGGTTGAGGCTGATCGTAGCTCTGAGGATCTAAACTTCTATTTAATACCTGAATGGATTAAAATTAACATTTTAAAAATGTTTAAACAGTTTGTTATGCTGCATAGAAAAGTTCAGAAGCGGAAAAGAAATTAAAGAAAAGAGACGTATCTGAAAGATTTGTAGAGCAGCTGTGATGCTTCGAAGAATTCCTAAAGAAATGAGAAGTAGATTATAAAAGTGAATAAGATTTTGGGTTAATACTGAATTGAAAAAATTATCTCACAGAGAAACATGTGAGTTTTTTCATGTAAAAGCAATAAGATAAATTAAAGAATTTTTAATGTTTGGATTATAATAAGAATGTAGAAATACCAACTGTTGATTTATTCGTTTAAAAAGAAAAAAATTATACAATTTTTAAGTAGTAGAAAGTTAATTATTTTTTGGTAAGCACACAAAACAACAACAAACTATTATAAATATTAATTTTATATGATTCTGTAAATATTTCTCTATAATCACAACGCCTACATTATTCGAAAATCATAGAATAGCTGCAAATTTAAATAACAATAGCACAATAGAGAACACCAGTTTAGTATAAAAAGGAAATCTATTTTTAAAACGGGGGTGGCGACTGAATGAAAGATTCTACAAATAAAACCTAACATTTGATTAAAATATTATACTATATCATTAATTCGAAACTTATATTGCCTATAAAAAAATAATAAAAACAATGAATAATAATACAAATAATTTAGATGCTATTATTAAATTTAAGGTATTTATCATTTCTGATATATCTAAAAAGTTTTAGGAAAAGTAAATTTATCTCAACAGCTGGAAATTCCACACAGTAAAGAAAAGCTTGAAAATTCTACAGGAGATTAATATTTTAGTAAGCAGAAAATTTTTTATAAACTTAAAATAATTTAAAAATTTATTTATTTTTTATCATAAATTCTTATAAATTTAGAATAAATAAATAAATAACACGCAAATTCCTTTTCATGGACATCGACTGTATTTTTAGTTAAAAACGTAAATTTAATTACTTTAGAATCAATTTTGCTTCCCGTGAGGGTTGAAACAAGTGAAATATTCGCTAGAGGTCGTCTCACAACTACGTCAAGACAACGGACGCGAACAGGTTGAACTGGGTCCAATACCTGTTTGTCTACGTTCCAGCAGCCGAGCTGACCCTTTCCAGTGACACTCGAGCAAAATAAAACGTTTAAAAATTTGAATAACAACGAACTTTAAATAAATAATTACTAATTCCCACCGTGGGATTTTTTCACAAAGTTAATTATTCGCTCTCCTGGGAAGAAATTTCATTTTTGTGTAAATCATATATAAAAATGTTGTTAACAGCCTCTGTCCACGCATCGTTGCTCCAATGTCTAGACGAAAATTTGCCTGAAGGTGGCAAAGGTCGGTGTTATCACCAAACCTGGACTACAGTCCGACTTAAAGGTCAATTAAAATGGTCAAGCAGCTGCTAGTCCATTAATTCGCCATTCGCCAAGAAAATCTTAAACTATTATTTATCAAACTTTTTTGTTCGATTTTTACGTTATTAAACTCATTTCTGTATAGTTTGGAGAAATTCCTTTATAGTTAATTTATAAAATAAATACAATTTATCCATATAAAGCGTATCATTTGTTCACTTCGTAGAAAAAAAAAAGGTATTTACATTATGCATTGTGAGAGATAAAAATGGAGGTACTGTATCTCCACTTGTTTAATCTGGTGTGTCAATAGGATGAATCCATTAATTTCACCTTTTTCCCCCCTATCTCATATACTAGTTAATAAATAAATTTCAATCTGTCATAAACAACAAACAAATAAATTTGTCACCTTGGATAAAACAGTATGAAATTTGAAACAGTTCATCAATTAGTATAATATTAAACCATGATAAACAATTATTTATTTCTCTGTTCCATGTTATTTTATAATAAAACTTCATGCTTTAAACTAACTAGGTTATGTGAACTAAGAACTAATTAATATGAGATTCAGTTTGTTATCGCTTGTATAAATTTAATTTTAGATANTGGCAAAAAAAACTGATTACGTAATACCATTAAAAATTACTAGAATTTATAAATTATATCTGTTAAAAATGTTAAGAAAATTTTCTTTATAATCTTTTCTACAAATCAATATGTATAAGTATAATTAGTATGGAAACTCCAAAATAATAAAATAATGTCTGCATTTATAGCCATTAGTTATGCAATGTATAAATCATGACTATGTCTTATTGTAAAAAAAGTATATGATGCAATTTCTTAATACAATATTTCGTAATAGATCGTAGTATATGGAAATGCTTTATTAATTTAAAAGTTTTGATTAAAGTTATTAAATTTTGTTAATGCAATACATCTGTAATTAACAAAGAGAATATTAACGTCGTACTTTAAATTATACAGTATATATCATTTTTATTTTTAGTACGTTAAAGTTATTATGTTATGCTAAAGAAATTATCATAGTCGAACCTCCAGTCGAATAATGCTACCTCTAAACGGCGGCCATTTTTTCAGGAACGTTTTTCAAATGCATACAAAATAACCTCCAAATAACGACCGTTTTTTATTTCTTTTTACGTTCCTGCCAGTGACCATTGTTCAGAGGTTTGACAATACACTGATCAATAACATCGATAGTATAACTTTTAAATGGAAATTTTATTTATCTATTTTGTTTATTGAGCTTAGTTCAATACATATGATGCTAATTTAAATAATAATCTTTAGCCATTAGAATTTTATTCGCGTTTCGTTATAGGTTTAGCTGTTGTAATTGTCTTAACATAATTAACCTGTTTTATTTTCTACTAACGCAAAATTATTTTTAATTGGTCAAATACGTGTAGATAGTTTATAGCTTCTACTAAAAGAATTTAGACTAGTCAATAACATTTCGATATGTAAACACGGTTTCATATTTACAGGGATTTGGTTTTTGAAGGTCTTATCCCCAAAACAAAATTCTAAAATGGCCTTGAAGTCTATAACAAAGTCTCGGGGTATCATTTTCAATGTGATTAAATCAGAGAAAAGAAAAACGTTTTAATTTTCAAAGTTAATTTATCAAATTGTCTACATAAATACATTACAACATTAATTTTTCTATTCTCGATTGATTCAAATCTCTGCTAGATGGCGACTCTGATCTGGACTTAGCCCTTCACACAGGAGTAAATTAAGGCGCAAAAGTCCACCATTTAGCTAAGAAACGGCAGTTATTTTCATTTTCACTTCACATATCTAGATTAAATTTCAAGGATTTTAAAGTAATTGAAAGAAGAATTATTAAATTAAATTCTAACTCAAGTGATTTAGTTCTACCCAACAAAAAAAGTAAATAAAAATAAAACGTAAATGTTTGCAATACAATGAAAATTTTATTTCTCAATCAAGTAAATCAAGCAGACATAAAAAATATTAAAAATATACACATCATATTGCATAGGCCGATTTAACAAGCCACAGAAAGTATTGCATCCTCTCAAAAGAGATGTTCTGCGCTTGGCCGTCACTCTCCGAAATTTTCCAACGTATTTTGATTGGATCACAAATATTGACATTGGAATATCTCAAAATTAATAACGAACATGTACATTTTTTTTTTGACGTATAAAACATATACGATACGGAACAATAACAATTTTTTTTTTTTTTTATCAGAAAAGATACACAATTTTGCATCAATGCAATATCTAACGAGTAGAGAGAACGTAAATGCTGTTGTAAAAATATATGGGAACCAGTTGAAGAAATGGAATTTCTCGGCCACACACAAATGGACCTAACATTAAAATTTATCATCACACTTCTTAGGGTTCGACTGGACCATACATAGACAGCAATTGCGCTAGCTCTACACTAACAATATTTTTTTTGTGAGAGCAACTCACTTAAACAAGACTAGGGATATCGGAAAAAAAAGCGACTTAATATTTTTTAAAAAAAGTGCAGATCATTGATGTTTTATTAGTAATTATGCTAAATATACACGTTTCAAAAATATAGGATTATGGAACCAGTTATACCTGGTTTTGTATATGGATTCTAAATGTATTTAAGAATATCATAAAATAGTAACAATAATATTAATAAAATATTAATAAAATTAATATAATAATATAGTAATTATATACGCCGAGCATGCGTTAACTTTACATAACTGACTAATGCTAATATTTTTTTTTTTTTGTTTTTTTTTTTTTGAACACACGAGACGAATCATGCTGGTACACCTACATATCTTTGGCAGACTTTAATCAACAAAAATATCCACACATGGCATTGTAGCAAGCCATTCTACTTTCTCAAACTGTTCAATATAGATTTTTTTTTTCTTTTGTATCTTTTTACATGAGCTCTATAAATCGAACACAAATACTCGACGGAATCTGCGCAGAATTTGAGAACGCGTCTCTAAGGCACTACTACATGGACGGACATACAGTCGGCGATGATTTAATACAAACACATACAAAAATATTTAGTGTATATATATGTATATATTGTACATTGTAAGGCACTTTGAATGCACTTAAAAATTTTTCACGCCAGACAAATAGTCTAGGTGGCAAGCATTATATAAATAAATTATGAATAAAGGCTAGAAAATAAGCAAACGATAAACATTTTTTTCTTTTTTTTAAATATCGACACTTAACAAAAAAAAAAAATTAAAAATCTTACAAAGAGCCTGTCATGGCGAATTTTTGGCGGACTTGGCCGTCACGTGTCTTGGCAGGAAGAATCCTATTGGTCGAGTTATGCCATAAATAATTCTATGTAGCGATTTCCCATGTTATGACGATTCTTTTCCTGGATTGCACGTTCTGCGTCGGCTCTACTGGGGAATGTCACCAAAGCTTCTCCATTAGGTCGACCGTCGCCGTTCCTCTGCAACTGAATGCATTCCGGTGACAGCTGAAAAGTGAATATGCAAAATTTATTATTGAATAAAAAATAATAATTAAGACACCAGATGGCATCGAATTGAATATATAATCGAGATAATAGGTCTTGGTTCGATTGGTTGAGACATTGCACATGTTTACGTAAATTTGACGTCATTTATTAGAATTATTCATTGTAAAACTAACGTAATGACGTCAAGATGACGTAAAAATGTGCACTATCTCAACCAATCGAATAGACCCGATATAAAATTTAAAATGATACAAGGCGAGACATTCAGTAGACAAGTTGACCCGATTTCAAATAATACGGCTATCGTTCGTAAATATTAACGAGGATTAAAAAATACGGTAACTAGAACGACAAAAAGTCGAAAATGTCAAACCCATATATTAACGTATATATAAATTTTTATATATTAAAAAAAAACCAACATCGACGCCCTCTCGCCTTAAAAATCTTCCGAGTTGATGTATAGACCTATAAAATTGTATTTATTCCAAATGCAATTTATTGTTTCAGCCTTATTTTCAGAATTAATTTTCTTCAGAAAATTTCTCTTTCCACATAAACTTATCTTGATTTTCATTTAAGTACAAAGGTTGAAGGTTTCAGTCTGGAAACCAATGTCACGAAAGCTAGTTATTTATTAAAATCACAGAGAATATTAATTTAAAACACCTAATGTTTGTTCGAAACTGATTAATTCGAATATTTTAGAAAACAAGAGAGAAAGTTTTCGTTTCGAACTTATTCGACTTTACAATGAAAAAATAAACAAATTAGTAAATGGTAATTTGTACCCATTTGAATTATTCTTTCTTCTGTGTACTTTGATATAAAGTTTTATATTCCCTCTTTTTAAAAAATTAATGTGAAATCCTACGAATAATTACGGATTTCCAATCAGTAGAGTAACTTGAATGGATATTAGGGGGGGTTCAGTTCTAACATGCAAGCATACATTCGCCCCTGAATCATTGTGAACTAGTACTTTGTATGATGAGTAAACTTTTATGTATTATATATACACATATATAAATGTGTTTGACACATTAAAATATTTTTCCTGTATTTATTAGAGTTTTTCTTTATGTATTTATTTACGAAGATAAGGAGCCCAGGGCCCACGGATACGCTATTGCTTCCAATATATATATTTACATGTAGTACAAATGACACATTTGACAAATTTTTCATTTTCTAATCATGAAATTGGTGGAATATACTTTAAAATACTCGATTATTTATTTTAATTCTAATACGTTGAAAATATTTTACGATTTTATGAATTATTATAAAGCATAAATAAACGAAATTTTTGAAAAATAAATTCTAATATTTTTTATAGTAAAGATTATTTATCTCCAACTTAAACTTAAGATATCTTTATAACAGAATCAATGTTGCATTATCTATGATAAGTTTCAATTTCTACAAAATTTAAAATGGCTTTATCTTTTACTTAACTGTAATCCTTATATTAACAGAATGAATTAAGAATCAGAGGAATTTCATAGTTCTATAGACATGACATATGACTAAAACTTAATCCCAGATAAGGATAATAGTTTTTCATATTTATCTGTGGACAAACAATCCATAAAAGTCTACTTTTAATTCAAATCATAACTGATCCTTTCTAAATGTATTTATGATTTGGTTACCATTAACCAAATCACTTATTTCATTATCATTCGGTTAATATATGATTATTATTATTATAAAATTTAAAATGTAAAGCAATTATTTGCTTAATTTAAATTTTATAATAGTTTAATATTTTTTATTTCTTTATATTCTTTACTAAAAATATTACTAATGAAATTTCAGATCTAAAGAATAGTAAACCCAGAGCAAGCATAGTGAAATCCTTAACAACTAAAGCCGTCTTATATGCAATATGTTCGCAAAACTACTTAATTAATATTATATTCTAAACTTTAAACATAATACAAGATTAGATAAATTAGTTAATAAGTTAACCGTCTATAGAGTCACCAATTTCTGAAGCGATATTTCATGCAACTAAACGTTATAGTTAACTTATTAGTAGCCATAACCAGCGACAGAAGCCCCCTAACCTCAGCAATACCCTGGAAAAAGTTGAGAACTTCCACCACAGTAGCAGTGTATGGTAGACCGCGTAGAATTACCATGGTCGGACCAGTGTGCGGATAATAAGTTGTAGGCGATACTGGAGGACTGGGATATGGCCAGTAGAAGATAGGTGTATAATAAGTTGGTACACGTGGCGTAAGAGGTGCTAAAGTCGGAAGCACCTGAGCCGATTGGACATAAGGATAAGTTCCATACGCAGACGGAAGTACAGCTCCACTCGTAGACGTTAATAGACCACCTGTAAATAAAAATATAAATTAATAACTCCACTGCAATTTTTATTATATATATATTTATTTATTTAATATTTGTACTTTTTCAAGTAATATAAATTTATTGCATTTACCTGATGCAAATAAAGGTCTTTGTACAGGTATGCCTCCNAATTAAAGCAATTACATATAAACAAACTGATTTTGATTTAGATATTTGTAAGCTAAAATCCAGCACCAGAATTGGGTAATTAAAGCAAAAGTAGGAAAATAAATATTCAAATTAAGTAAATTTTATTTATATAGTACGTTTAGAAAAGGGAGAAAGCTTTTGCTAAAGAAGATTACTTAAATATAGCCTACACAGTTCATTTTTTGCATTAACTGGACGATTCTATTGGTATCGACAAGCACTACATCGTATAAACTTTATTATAATGTTTAATGGGTTCTTTTCTTATATTATATTTCGAGTTTAGAAAGCGGAAAATATAAATATACTTTGATTTTTTCTTATATTACCTGTTAAATTATATATTTTTTAATAGTAATTGTATGCACTAGTTTATGTTATGACTTGATTTATTGTTATATATTAGGAAAATTGTACAAAGGAAAACGAAATCATATTCTCGATTTCGCAGAAAAACATTAAATAACAGTATTGAAATTTTCCTGATTAGATATTAGATTAGATTTAAAATAATGTAATAAGTTTCCTTTACCAAAATTAGTTTTAAACATAATTAAAATGTAAAGCATTGCTTCGTAAAACCTACTTATTCATTTAAAAATAAACAAAATCTCACATTATTAGAAAAATTTTTTTAAATTAAAAATTTATTAGAAAAAAATATATATTTTTGCTAGTACAAAACCAAATTATTGACATATGTGACGACTAATACATAATACAGTCAAATCCCTAAACAACGGCCATTGACGGGAACATAAAAATTAGTGGGGTGGCCATTAATTGGAGGTCATTTTGTATGCATTTCAAAAGGAAATTTCTTGAAAAAATGGCCACCGTTTAGAGGTTCGACTGTTGGTTATTGGAGATTCGGCTGTCACTACCTTAATATTATTTTTTCAAATTGAAACACGAGATTGAAACATATTATGTANTTCCTTAAAATAAATTCTTCCCGGGAATGTAAATACGTGACAGTAAAGCCACAGCTGAATATTTTCTACTAAAATGTCCGAAGGGCAAAAATTCGTAATGAAATAAAAGTGACATGAAATAGATATCAGAAATAGGGCATGCGAATTATATATATTTATTTATTTAATATTTGTACTTTTTCAAGTAATATAAATTTATTGCATTTACCTGATGCAAATAAAGGTCTTTGTACAGGTATGCCTCCGGTTAATACCAGATTCATATCGTCAACGGAACATTGAAATACTTCGATATATCGCTGTTTCTTTCCGAACACCATATATCGATGATGTCGCTGTTGCGCAGCGATATATGCAGAATGCTCTGAGTCCATTTGAATAAAAGCTTCACCCGAAGGCTGACCCTAATAATGTTCTCATTAGAATAACCTGGAAATTTGACGTTCTAACAAACGTAAAAACACTTACTTGGGCATTGTACACCATGTGAACACCTTGGAAGACAATATTTTTAGCATATTCTCCTAAAAATTCTAGAATATGTTCAACTTGAGCTTCATAAGGAAGGCCTCTTAATCGAATGCAATCCCTTCGAGATCCAGAAGGAAGCAACTGTTGAGGCAATAAAGGGACTTGAGGAAGATTGGCAATTAATGGTTGAGGCTGATCGTAGCTCTGAGGATCTAAACTTCTATTTAATACCTGAATGGATTAAAATTAACATTTTAAAAATGTTTAAACAGTTTGTTATGCTGCATAGAAAAGTTCAGAAGCGGAAAAGAAATTAAAGAAAAGAGACGTATCTGAAAGATTTGTAGAGCAGCTGTGATGCTTCGAAGAATTCCTAAAGAAATGAGAAGTAGATTATAAAAGTGAATAAGATTTTGGGTTAATACTGAATTGAAAAAATTATCTCACAGAGAAACATGTGAGTTTTTTCATGTAAAAGCAATAAGATAAATTAAAGAATTTTTAATGTTTGGATTATAATAAGAATGTAGAAATACCAACTGTTGATTTATTCGTTTAAAAAGAAAAAAATTATACAATTTTTAAGTAGTAGAAATTTAATTATTTTTTGGTAAGCACACAAAATAACAACAAACTATTATAAATATTAATTTTATATGATTCTGTAAATATTTCTCTATAATCACAACGCCTACATTATTCGAAAATCATAGAATAGCTGCAAATTTAAATAACAATAGCACAATAGAGAACACCAGTTTAGTATAAAAAGGAAATCTATTTTTAAAACGGGGGTGGCGACTGAATGAAAGATTCTACAAATTAAACCTAACATTTGATTAAAATATTATACTATATCATTAATTCGAAACTTATATTGCTTATAAAAAAATAATAAAAACAATGAATAATAATACAAATAATTTAGATGCTATTATTAAATTTAAGGTATTTATCATTTCTGATATATCTAAAAAGTTTTAGGAAAAGTAAATTTATCTCAACAGCTGGAAATTCCACACAGTAAAGAAAAGCTTATTAGAGTTTTTCTTTATGTATTTATTTACGAAGATAAGGAGCCCAGGGCCCACGGATACGCTATTGCTTCCAATATATATATTTACATGTAGTACAAATGACACATTTGACAAATTTTTCATTTTCTAATCATGAAATTGGTGGAATATACTTTAAAATACTCGATTATTTATTTTAATTCTAATACGTTGAAAATATTTTACGATTTTATGAATTATTATAAAGCATAAATAAACGAAATTTTTGAAAAATAAATTCTAATATTTTTTATAGTAAAGATTATTTATCTCCAACTTAAACTTAAGATATCTTTATAACAGAATCAATGTTGCATTATCTATGATAAGTTTCAATTTCTACAAAATTTAAAATGGCTTTATCTTTTACTTAACTGTAATCCTTATATTAACAGAATGAATTAAGAATCAGAGGAATTTCATAGTTCTATAGACATGACATATGACTAAAACTTAATCCCAGATAAGGATAATAGTTTTTCATATTTATCTGTGGACAAACAATCCATAAAAGTCTACTTTTAATTCAAATCATAACTGATCCTTTCTAAATGTATTTATGATTTGGTTACCATTAACCAAATCACTTATTTCATTATCATTCGGTTAATATATGATTATTATNTATATTATAATTCCTACAATTTAATAAATTGTTAAAGAACTGGAAATATTTAAATTTAAAAAATATATATGTATATATATAATACATCAAAAGTTAAAGCTAAACTCTATAAAATGTTTTAGCAATAATTAAATAAATAAAACTGAAAGTTAATTATATGAAATTGCATTTTGTAAATGTGGATAAGATCGAACTATGTACAATCTAGACATATACATAATGTAATAATATCATAGATACGAACATATAGTTAGACACAATTTCATAGATATAAAACGTAATAATACTTGACACCAGTCATAAAAAATGGTGGATGTGAACTTTCTATTTTAATGTTTCGTAATTTAGCATTCGTTCTTAGCCCTCATCTACATTGGCAGACTCCACATGGATGAGGCGTGTGCCTCTGTCAAATGTCTGCTGTATCTAATATGCAAAACTGAGGCAATCTAATGCATAAGTTATTTGTTTCTAACGAAAGAAGTTTCTTTTACATTTTTCGAAATATAAAATAAAATCACTGAAGTAAATAGAAATATTAGATATCACATTCGAGTTTATTGGAAAATTAGTTTTGTGTTTCGAATGATTTTCGTCGAAGTTTAATATAAAATTTTTCCATATAATTGCAGTAATTTCCTTAAAATAAATTCTTCCCGGGAATGTAAATACGTGACAGTAAAGCCACAGCTGAATATTTTCTACTAAAATGTCCGAAGGGCAAAAATTCGTAATGAAATAAAAGTGACATGAAATAGATATCAGAAATAGGGCATGCGAATTATATATATTTATTATGAACTCGTTATATTTTATTAGTAACTGGAAACTTGTTATTAAAATTTGTTGGTTTTTAGCATAGTTTTGTTCTTGGGCGTAGATAAGTTTTCCATACTGATAACTAATATAATCTGTTTCTCTTATAGATAAAACACAGAAACAATGTATCGATAATTTCTCTTTAACATTCCTGAATATAATTGATTAAAAGTCGTATTAAATATCTAAATTAAAATAAATAACCTTACGTTAAAAGGGCCTGAAATCCTGATTAAGAAACAATTTATTACCTGTTGCATTAGTCAGCAAGATAATTAATTTGCTGGATAGCTAGAAAATTGATTCTATATTTGTATTATTAATAAATCCGACATTTTTCCGACAATGTATCAAATAGCTACTATATTTAGTCGGAACCATTATTTTGAAAACTCTCCAATTATGCGATAAATATTTACCTGTTGAACTTCAGCTGTAGTACTTCTAAACAACTCAATGTAACGCGATCCTATTACTTGTCGATGCTTCTGTAATGCTTTTCCAGCCATCTCCTCTGTCTCGAATAGAACAAAAGCATCTCCAGTAGCTCGACCGTCTGGTTTTCGAACGAATAACACTCCTTCTTCCGAATCCATCACCTGACAAACAATATCTCCAGTAGCGAAAAATTCAATCTATAACATGGAAAGATCGTAAGAGAACGAAAATAAAACAATAAAGCGGAAGTAAAACCTTTCAACTTACCACCTGCTGTGGGGTACAGTCATAAGGTAAACCCCTCATCCGAACGATAACTTGACCCCCTCTCGAAAGAAACGTTTGAGCTTCGTGGTTGCTACCTTTATAAAATGCAATGATAAATGTTTAATATTACATAACAACCTTTTCATAATTTTAAAATCAGCAAAACAAGCTCATATTTACATGTTTAATATTGCAACATTTTCAACTAAACGTGATTTGTTTTTATATAGATAACACAGCGGATATAGACTAATTGTAATCACAAAATGGAAAAATAATAAAATATTTAGCCTAATATTAAAATTACTCGTCAATAAAGAAAATTCTCTACAATCTATTAGTAATTTCGTGAAATACAATTGGATGAAATCGATACAAACATCTGGAAGGATGTGAAATGTATAGGTGCTATTTTTTACTTTTTTTTTATTGTTTTTGCAAATGTATATTATCAGATGTTGACACAAGGCGATTAAGCTGATAAGAAAAACTAGCGAATAAGTATAAGCGAATTATTAAATTTAATAAGATTATTTTCGAGACTCACCTCCTGCCACATTGACGAAATCTTCTCCAGTAGCACGGTATACTTCGATATAGCGTTGACCAATATGGTGTTTGTGACGCTTGAGGGCCATGTCTCGATGTTCCTGATTGACGAAACGAACCAGGGCTTCTCCGTTCCTCCTGCCCTGGGGACTGAGACATAAAGCCACACCACCCCTGCGAGAAACATGTGCCTTAGACATTAGAAGACACCTTCGACGAGTGCCAAGTCCACCACACCAACGTCGGTAACCACCCCCTGTCGGACCCTGAACCCAGGTGAATGATTACTAGTATATAATAAAAGCGGATCACGTGTTTTCTCGCATATAATTTCGACGAATGAGTGTTAAGTTTTATCGTAGCTCAAAACGGTATCGTAACCTGATTAGTCATTTTCTTCAGATTAGTCTCCATGGGAGCATATGTTGATCATACCGTATACTAACTATTAATTATTTGCACAGTGCTAATCTTTTTCTGCTCGGTGTGAGGAACTTTGGAATAGGTAAGAAGAATACTTAGAAATAAAAAACTTAATTTTAATACCTGACAATATTCAATCCTCGGAAAAATTTGGCGATATCCTGATCGGACGATTGCCATGGGAGTCCTCTAGCTCGAACTACCGTATTACTATCTACCACTTCGTTCTTCGAACTGGAAATTTGCGAAATGTATTTTAAAATAAGGAATGTACGCAATATATGACAATAACACAGCAATATATAAATATGCATGTAATATACCGATGGAATTGTTAAGTGGGCGGGTGTTCGAAACAGCGCCATCTCGGAGATGAAAGCGAAAATATTAAGAAAGTCCTAAATTCAACCCAGTGACGTCATTGGACGTTATCATTACCGCAGAAATAAGTAATTCCCGGATTTATTTCGAAAGATGGAAATGGGAAAGAAATAATCTAATTATATAAATTACGGAAATTATCAATTAAATGTATGTATAATTATTCGGTATATTTATAGTAAGTTTTTAATTTATTCCGTTGAAGAACTAAATTACATTTCAGACATTTCGTACGAGAGATGCAGTACACATGAAATTTCTTATTCCGATTTAAACAGATTATTATTCCAAATAAAATAAGGAAAATGTATTTTACGTACTGTACTGTACGAGGTGTAAGAATAGTTTTTTGTTTGTTTGTTTGTTTCCCTTCTTCTTCTTATTGGCAAATTTTAACTGATTCTTACAGGTCGACAACTACATTTTCCTGCTTTAACTTTTTAAAAGTTATCTTTCTGTTTAATAGTCACGCATTATCATCATAATTCTCTCATCTCTTTCATTTAAATATCAATTGTTAATAAGCCGGAAGTGCCACTACTTATATTTTTTTACATTGTTTTGTTATTTATGTATCGCTAGTCTAAGCTTCCTTTATTTTTTCCACTTATTAATGTTTTAGTTTTGTTTTTTCTAGTTAAAATAAGGTAGAATAATTGTAGGAGATTTTGTCATGAAGTTCGTCGCCCCTTTCTAGAATATAATGATGTTGATCATCTCAATTAATCTCCGAGAGTGTAGCACGAATCTTAACCCAAAAGTCGAGTGTATGTCTATATGCAAGCAGCTATAAAAAAAATCAAGATACAATTTACAATCGAAACTTACCATATTCCTGGTTCTAAAACCAGACTAATCGTTTCTGGTTCTTCAAATTGATGTCCTGAAAATAAAAGGAATACATAGGAATGAGAATAGATGTATATTGTGACGTAATCGATCACGTTCTTTCTAAGAATGAAAGTTTCTCAGCAATTACTGATCATTATTGACTGGTCGTGTATTGGATAATCAGTTGTTTACCCTTTAAAGAGATGATAATTTTCTTAAATGCTGCGATTTTGCAAGTTTTAAGAATCGTGACCCAAATAACTAATTGCACTACTAATTATTTTTGTTGCTTTCAAAAGTTATACGATTTAAAAGAGTTAAATTCCTCTTAAAAAGCTTTGAAAAAGATGTCATCTTTCACACCTCGCTGGAAACCCTATCGTACGTGATCATCAAATGCTCCAACTGTGCAGAGAACAACTTAATAGGGTTATTGCCCGACGTATCCGGAAAGATAGTCTGTGACAGAATGACAGCGAGTACCGCTCTTCACAGAAAATATTTTTAGAAGATTGGAAGCAAGTTACGCCCGCTAATCACAAGCAAAGAATATGGTAATTACTCTCAAGCGACGTAATGGTTTAAATTATTAATTAGAATAAAATTTTCAGAAATGCCACAAGACAAGGGCGGCGAAGGCGGAAGAGACAAACACTTTTTAAGTCGCAATTAGAAGTGTTGTGTCCATGCAAGCCCCAGGGCGTAATGAATCACCTGTTTTACCACCAGAATCGACTCGGCGTCGGTCGGCAGCATTCTTGCATCATCTTTTTTAAATCTGCCTGTAAATCTTTCCCTCTGGCGGAAAGCCAGCGAACTACTGGTGAATGACCGACAACCAATGACGAGATGTCCGAGCAAGTAGACGAACCAGCCAAAAACTTGTTCTCTCAAACTACTGTTTTAATATGTCACGTGACAGAAAATTGTGTCAAACAGGTTTGTACACAGTGTGGCCAGTGATGTGTTGTGGCCCTCGGGGCCACATAGTTGCACCGGTACACCGCCCTGTCTAGGGTTGTTGCCCGTTCTCTCCTTTTCAGATCTTTTTCTCCATTCTCTTTCCCTCTTCTTTTCATCAAAAATAAAGTATTTATTAATTTCCTATTCTTTCAACACCGACTTTAACGAATAATTATTTACATTCCAGCTTTGTTAATGAAACAAAGGCAGGTGGATAACCGAATTTAATCTATTAAAACGTCATTTTCGTTTTCATCAGTTCGATCTAAGGAATGTTCGTTTGAACTAATGAAAAATCTAGTTGAAAACTTACTAGAATAGCAATTACTAACGAAACGAATATATATTTTTTTAATTCGATAACCTGTACAAAAACAACTTTATTAAAATTTTTAGAATCAAGGCAAACTTCTCGTGATTGAACTAAACCAGTTCCAGACTCGGAACCATTCCAAGTTAATTTTTAGCTTAAGGAAATTATTTGATACTCGTCGTAATTAAGAAACATTATATACAATATTGCGATTAAGAGATGTTAAGTACTCACCTTCACTAATAAGACGAAAAATGATCTTGACCATGTCCTGTACCTGACGCATAGAAAAGTCTGTTGCTTCATCGCTATCTAAATTAAGAACTAGAAATAATTGAGGAAAATATATTTTTGTTACATGCTTGAGTTGAAAGCCTTCAGAATGCCGTAATGCTTTCACATTTAAATCGAAGAAAGAAACATCGAGTTACTTGATTAATTTTGACCATAAATTTCAATAGAACCAAGCAATACGTTGTATAAAGAGTTCTTTAAAGTAACTAACTACTCGTTGCTGATTTTTAAAATGTTATTAATTATTTTTCAATCAAAAAAAATTTGGCAAGTATAGGAAATGCATGTGATTCGGTCTGAATTTTGAAATATTTCATGCTATAATGCTATATAACGACAGAAGAATGATCAAAATTATAAAATTTTCATACGCATACAATTAAAGAGATCTTCAGTTGGATGACTGAAGATACTCTTAAAATGCACCGGATGCATCACGTGTATGGTCCAGTAAGTTTAGGGAGAGTGTGTCCTCTTTGCCATCAACCTTGAACTTCATTATTGTCTGACTTTAGCCTGTAATCTGTCTCTTGTTGCTCAGCAACTGAGGACAGTGAAGCGTAAAACGAGTCAACAACCTCTTCTCTAAACAAAACAGAGGCCTGTGACATAATATTGTGATTTCTCAGATTAACATTTATTTCCTGAAGCGTTTAAATGCCAATTATTCGTGGTTAGAAAAAAAAGATCTCAGAATAGATTTGTAATGATGAAAAAATCCAACGAAGCACGATCAGGACGTGTAGTGAAAAGAACTGAAATGGCCAAACTGGCTATAAAAGGCACGCTCGTCATGCTTTCTTTATTCTGTTTTTCGTTTTCGCCTGAATCTAACTATTATCATGAGCGTAAAATACAGTCTTGATTCTAAAATAGTATCTATTTTGAAAAAATAAAAATAAAAACTACACCAGATGCTTCCAACCTAAGATATTAATTCAGAACTTTAACTATTAGTCATTAACCAAATAAATTGAATCGATCTGGCGTATATCAGAGAGAGAAAAAAAAAAGAAAAAAAATTACAAGTCCAGATCATATATAAAAGATTGAAGATTAAAGAGGACAGTCTCCTTTGTAATAAAGTAGAATTCGATCTCATTACATATGATAAGCATTGCCCTTATTAAATGCTATTCATTTCACTCTTAATTTCAAAATATTGATAATTATCTTCTTATATATGAACATGATTATTAACAGTTTTACAGAATAGAAAATATCTTCCACGATAAGTAATTTTTGCAGCTTATCTTTCAACAGCTGTATTTGTTCTCTAGCGAAGCTTCGAATATCAATGAATTGCAAAATGCGTTCATTCAGAGGCCGAGTTCGGGTCGACAGGAATAAGCCTATTCACATTATAGTCGAAACATTATGTTTCTATACAATGCTGGCTATGCAAAGAGAGGATGTTGCCAAGTTAATAATGCTCTACTCTCACCGTTATATCATATTCGTCGCGCTTTATGCAAAAAAAAGGATACAGTTCAGCATATCCTGTATAGAGTGAACATCGTTGGTTCCGTAAAACTTCCGAAATTCTTTTCTGAGATCGAAAAACGAAGTATAGTAGTCTGGGAGCAGAAAGTTCTTCTGACAGGCCTCAGGATGAATAACTTGCCTCAGGTGTAACTGACCGTCCGTGATTAAGTGGAATGTCCTTCCTAAGCTGTTGTCCAACTTTGTTCGCACGAATTGGTCGAACTGTAACAAAAAAAAGCGAAATAAAAAATAATCAAATGTTTCTCACTAATGTTTCTGTACTAATTACCGGTGTAAAGATCTGTTAAGAGGAGTTCCCATTGAATAATGTTCGGCTGACCTCAGATAAGATCGCATCTTTGACGTGTATGATCTGGTTAATACATAGTAAATTTAGATCTTAAAAGATTTTTAAAGTGACATTCAATAGCGAAATTTCGGCATATTTTACTACTTATTGAATGTTACACCATTCAATTCTTGTATATGTATTGCATTAAATGCAACCATGTGACATAATTCGAGTCTATTTTCTGGCAAAATTAGATTTTATTTGAGCTGAACGGTGATTCATGTTTGACTGACGACCTACTTTTATTTTATTTATTTTTTTTCTATATTTTTTTTTGCAAGATAGACCAATTAATAAAAACATATTAATCCTAAACTATTTAATTGCACTTGCAAAATGTAACATTTCTTCAGTAGAATAAAACAAAACTATCTTCGTGAACCTTTAAAAATGTTTGACAATATTTGAGAAGATTAGCCATCTTAGCTGGAGCAAGAAATTTTAATTAAATAGAGACATATTTTAGATTAAAAATTAATGAGATTAATTAATTTTATTCTGTTGTTATTAGTGTCGTCAGTGAATTTTAACTTAATTTTATAATGTAAAAATCAAGTAATGTATATTTGCGAAGCACTTTTACCTGTTCTAACACCTGTTCTAAAGGCTGTCCATTTTTGATGACCTCATCCTCGAGACCTATTTCATTTCTGCAGGTATCAGATAGAAGGTTATCGTTGATATCGTAACATCTAGGTTTGACCACATTTTGTTGGATAGCCACCACCTGAAACCAGAAAAAGTAAGAGAAAAAAACTAGATTTTAAGTTAAAGTAATGGAAACTCGATTCATAAATATAAAAAGCCGGATACAACGGCCGTACTCCTGTATCGAATTATACTTTAATCGAATATATTAGTGTAAAATGTAATCAACAAACTTTAATATCGAGGTATTTTTTAATCTCGGAAATGAATTTTGTCAAAAAATTTCCGATTGGAATGTGTTGTTTACAAATAACTCTTGCACTGTCATTTTGAATGTGTTCAGTCAAAAAAATTATAAAAGTAATTAACTGATATCTGCTATTATTTTAACAGGTTCAATTGGAATCATTCTACCTTACAGAGGTTTTTTTTATAGAAGCTATTTTTATCATATCGTGTGATGGTGATATTGCTCTCTTTATGTTCATTTTTTATTATCATTTAAATATGAAAACTAAAGTATTTTTATAGGAAAAAATTGTCCATTGAATACTAAAGGAAATGTGAAGCTCAATAATAAAATCTAATGGTTTCCTTGTTTACTAAATCCACGTGGATTTTAACTAAATTTTACAAATAGAATTATTTAAATATGATTTTATTTGTTATTCTACGGTGTATTTTTTATATTATTATTGAAATAACAAGCATATGTTTGAAAAATATTAATAATTTTTTTGATTATTAACAGATTTATAAGCTTAAACAGGTATGTTCAAGTGTTATACTAGGCCTAATACGACATGGAGTTTTATTACTGCATTTAAAACATGTTTTAAGATACCTGTGTATGATTAGTAGGTAATCATATACAGGTATCCAGATAGAATCTATATAAATCATACAGATGTGAAGAGATAATATATTTGTTGGTGAAAATTGTTATAAACGAAGGCATCTTCAGGTTTTTAGCCTGAGGATGTTTCTTATAGATCCCAGTTCTTACACTCAGTTACTATTACAAAACCGTATGTTAGGATAATCCGTAACTCTCTTTAATCCCGAGAACTAATGGACTCTGTAGGCATTCATAAAAAATTAGATCGCCATATGGAATGTTTCGTATAGCAAAAACGAATCGGATATAAAAACTTTCGATTGTTAAATAAAAATTGTTTGCCATCAAAATCAAAAAAACAAATCGGGACATAAGTTTTAATTATGGCGCCAACTCTATCAAACAGATTACAATTTTCTTATCTGAAACAACAGCTGTTAAGGTAGAGGAAGATCCGAAAGAGCTCGTGAATCGGCTCACCTTGTTATTAGTAATATCCACCACCAGCCAGGTGATCATAACGATCTCTTGTTCATCACATCCCAAGCCGTCTCCATGCTGACCTGCCGTTACAACATAAACCACCACCAAATGTTTGGCCATGCCCCAGCCAAAGAGGAAAGGTCCGTGTCACTAACTTCCCTATCCCTAGCAAACTGAATGCTTCTACTATCCAACCAGCTATTGTGTGACCTGTGTCTATTTTCCTCTGCCATTGGTCGGTTCACCTGTAGACGTGGCACGTGATGTTGCGCACGCAAATCTGCCACCAGCTCGACAGGTGAAGCCGAAACAGGTAGAACATCCCCAGGCGCGGGTTTCTTTGCATGACTGCTTTACTGCTTTTTTCCGCTGTTTTTACATTTCAAAATAGACTTAACCGAAACTTTACGTAGTTGTTAACTGCTCGCTTTCTGATAAAACTTTTACAATGAATCTAGCTGGATTTTCGTTTGTTTGCTTGAGATATCCTTTAGATAATTAATGAGTCATTCTATTATGTTTTCTTAGAATGAAAAAAAGACTTACGATTTGTCTTTTCATTGGCCACCCCACCTTTCACTCTTGCAACGATTCAACAAAAAATTATGTCGCTATACTACTTAAAATAAAAAAAAAAACTTAACTAGTTGGGTAAACTGGTATCTACATGGATTTTCGTAACGTTAAACAAGTTGCCATTCTAGCAGTAGGACCACTTTTATTATACAAAGTACAGATGTACTAGTAAGTTATAATATTACGAATACTTACAGATATTTCGTACTTACAACGTATAAATTCTGATCAGTTTTAGAAATAATGTTTGGGAAAAACGATTAGACTTTCGAATTTATTATCAGACTAAGGGAAAAAATAACTTAAATATAGTATAGATGCATGCGATGGTAATTATGCAGCTCATACAACTATCGTGATTTTTATCAAAGTTTTATCTTATTAATGAGAAGACCGATCTTATGAATAAAAGCAACGTTTTTTGTCTCTCCATTGTCTCTTAAGACTAAAAACTTGGTTTATTTACGAGAAGGGAACGTCTTACCAATTTTTAAACTCGATTTTTATACTGGTTTTGACAAATTTCCGGTTAATTTATGACGTTTATAATTAAGGAAAATCATCCAAAGACAGAAATTAATTAAATTTATTATAATAATTAATATATGAGTATAATCATATACACTAATTCTTATACAAATAGTTAGTGTATGTAATAAAACAAAATAATTAGTACACAAAATAAAACAGTGTATAATCGTATTGTAATAGTAAAATAATAATTTAAAATTAAATCAATTTTACGGCAGAAAGTTTAACAATCCTTATAAGGCCTACTGTCACACCAATCTTCCTCCATATTTTGCTAGAGGTCTAATCCAAGATGTTTAATGGGCAATTACAGAAGAAAAACTTGCTTGGTGCTTTTGAAATCGTTACCGTGTTTTTTGTTACAGGTTTATTCAAGCATTATTATGTTTTTAATATTATAATTATTAATGGGATTCTTATAACAGCTTTATCTATAATAGAAATAAAGGTAACGGCGAAGCAACATTTACACACTATAAAAACAAATAAACTTATAAAATCATCGTTTTTATATGCAGGTTGATGACAAGTTATAAAACCTGCGAAGGGGGATGATCTCGTCTCTTGACATTCGGGATTTGTTAAGAGAATATAAACATTCTTTTCTCCATCGAAGAATGTATATTTACGACTTCTGATTGTAGAATTCCGTTCGGTGATTAAATATATATATATATATATTAAAAATAAGTAATTGTGTAGATTTTGACTCGTCTTTCGAGAAATATAACAATCGTGTTCTAAATCAGACTCGATTAAATCGTTTCTTTTTTAAGGCCTCTAAACAAACACGGGGTCAGATTCTATTTAATGGCCTTTCGATCAAGTTTCATTTATATTTTAGTTACTTGTAATGGGGTTTTCTATTCTCCACCTACCAGATCGAGATTTGAAGTTATTATAGGATACTTTCTTAAATCGGATAAGAGATCAACAGCCCGGCTTTGTCACGTGTTCCGGATAGAAAACTTTCTGCTTTGTATCGTGTAGACTGGGATATAATTAAACGAACGGCAAAGATAAAAGGCCACCCACTAATTTACAAAAATTGTTTCCTTCTAGTCCACTTTTACGTAGGAGTTTACATTCGTATCCAATTTTAACATTGTTTTAATTTGAAAACAATGTTCTAAAGTTAGAGTATTGGTATTGATAGTGTGAGGTTTCATTAGCTTCTTATAACAAATACGTATTAAACGTAGATGATAAAATCTTAAATACGCGAAAAGAAAAATATATATTTCGAATTAATATTCGTAGAATAAGTCAATTTTACTGTTGGTCAAATGCTATTCTGTGAATGAAATAAAGTGACAAAATAGACTACACGTACATTTATAATATGTTTCGTACTTCTACGCTTGTATGACGAGAACAATACTAGCACGATTCTCCCTCATTAAGATATTTCGTATACAAATATAATTTTTTAAAACTGCTTATCATTAATAATTTGTGAAAATAAACAAGAATTCAACCGAAAAAAAAAATTATGTGGCGATAGAAGTAAATATTTCAGCCAAAATTGAGTTTTGTTTCAGTCGGCATCTGTGCACGTCATAAAATAAAAGGAACCGACTGCTGTGCCACCTGTTACAGGTGAGACGATTGTGGAAGCTGCACAACTTTAAATGTACCAGCAATTCGTTTATAACTGGGTAAAACCATTTTATAATAATTACACACATTTTAAATTTTTTTTTCCATAATTTTAATAGCTCTTATTTCAAAATGGACATTAAATTTGAAATATTTTGTATTTTTATTACTGTTTTCCTTCTTCCGAATCCTTTCATTACATTTTATATTCATAATTTTGTGCGTGAATATAATTTTGTATAAGGTAAATACAGGTAAGTTCAAATGAATTGGGATGCGCCTCTTTTCCTGCCATCTATTGAGAAATTATAGAACTGGTTTTGAAAATTCTCTACATTATATATGCTTGAATGGAAATATTTTATTAATATAAAAACATAATTTATTACTTATATCTAATATATAATAATTTTAATATAGGAAATAGTTTTAATAAATACGTTCCTAACTGTAGGAATGTACTTAATTTTTTAATACTTTTCTTTCTTTTATTTTCCTAAAATATACGAAGAATAAGTTGAGTTTTATCATTTTTTAGTACTTATAAATTTTATTTCAAGGTTAATATAGCAATTATAACTTATAAAAGTCAGGAAAATTAAAATATTTGAAGCGAGAGTTTAAATCTTTATATAAATTTAATGACTTTCATAAATCAAAATATTACATAATTATTCCTAATAAATAAATAAATAATAATAATATTTTGCATAATTATAAATCTCATATATTTTCAATATATGATTGCATTTTATGTATATTTTTTCTAATTAAATGAGAATTTATATTACATGATTCGTCTTAGGTACGAAAGAATTAATTACACGTAGTTTTCAACTGATAAATTTACCTTAAAACCTTTATCTAATCAAAATATTAACCTATACTACTTATGTATGAACTATATTATCCGTTAAAGTTTAAAGGGAAAAAAAAGAAATTGACGTTTATTGATATCCACGTATAATAACACTAAAAATTTTAGTTGCAGTATTAAAATCTGTAGAAAGATTCGATAATTACAATCGAACCTCCAACAACGGCCACCTCTAAACGGCGGCCATTTTTCTTGCAAGGTTGAACAAAATCGTATAAAATAACCTCCAAACAACGGTCATTTTTCTGGAGCGATGAAGGAAAAGGCATACAAAATAACGTCCAATTAACTGCTCTTTTTGAGGAAAATACGTACAGATAACCTTCAAATAACGGCCACTACCTCTAAACGGCGGCCATTAATTAATCCAGAAACATTGAACAAAAACCCATAGAAAATAACCTCCAGACAACGGAAACTCTCAACGGGCCAGTGGTCGGAATTAAGAAGTTTGACTGTATATTCGTATTATAAATTTCGAAATACAGTAAAAGAATGTCATAAATATTATCTAAAATGAAAAGCATTTTGATTAAATAATATTTTTGTAAGATGATAGAAAAGAAAAACAAAATGGCGTTAAAAAATAGAGTTATTAACAAGAGAAATGAAGAGAATAATAAATGTTTATGATAAAGATTTTAGAAACAGAAAATGAAACAAATATCAGTAAATTAGGCCATATATAAATACACGAATTTACTTTATCCTTTCGCAACTGATAAATAATTTAAATGTAATAATATATATCCTGATATACCAAAGTTTTAATTAACTTAAATGATAAATTCTAAAAATATTTCAATGAATATTCTCAAAATCTTTACGAGTAATTATCATAATTCTAGAATTAGAGGAATTTATCAACCCATTTTTCATATTTTTCTTATCAATGTCTTAAACAGATTACCATAGTCTCTAAATGTATAATTTAATTAACGTATACAACTCGTCTATTTATTCATTTAATTGTTCGTTTATAATAATATAGTTTGACGATATAATATCAATTATATGACAGTTATCATCAGTGGCATGATAGAATCGATATTAAGAGGGGGCTTGAATTAGAACGTGAAAACCTATATTCACCCCTGTACTATCGTAGATATAGCCTCTTAGATATTGTATATAAACGTTTATAAGTGTATATTTGTTACATTATTTTCCTACATTTGTTTAATTTTAAGATTTATTTATTTACAAAAGTAAGGGACTCGATCCTATATAGAGTAAACATCATAATTGAAAATATAGACATCGTACAATAGAGCAATTATTGAGTAATTTTATGTAGATGGAAAGGCTCCTCTTACCTTTGTAAATAAGTAAAAGAAGAAAAAAAATGAGTACAGAAAAAGATTTGAATGTTACAAACGCATTTCTACACGTGTACGAGTATGTACTGTACTGTACAACATCTAATTAAGAGTTTACTCTTCATCCACAGAGTCAAAGGTGGTACAGGGATGAACACAGGTTTGCACGTTCTAATTCGGGTTCCCAATGTCGATTCTAGTTACGCTACTGATTTTAA